AATACTGGTAGAAATAAAGAGAAATACTGTTTGCAAAACAGTAAAACAGTTTTTGGTGGGGAGTACTGGGGTCTCTGAAGATTGCTAATGTCTTCTTAATTCTTCCCTCTCCATCTACTTAGTAGCTGCAGATTCTTCTCTTTCCTCCATCTTTTACTCCTTTCCTCCCTCCCTTCTTCTCTCTCTCTTACACATGTATAACATACACTATGAAGGATAGCTAAATAAATTGTTGTTGATATGTCATATATCTGTAGAGTACAGTTTTCTGCTTGTAATTTCCATCTCTTTTTCTTGTGATACAGCCTGGAATATTTATATGAGCTAGAACCTCTCCGAATATTTGCTCATCTTTTAGACTCTTTACAGGAAAATACCATTATGAATTATTAAAACTTTGCATTGTGCATAACAAATCACGCAAATGCCAAAAGACTAAGGTACTTAGTCTTACCCCAAGAAAATGTATAAAACTGAAAATTTAAAAAGAACTTCTATACACAAACTAAACGTTTGCTTCTGTCTTGGACTTTATAATTTACTGATAATGGAATGTCATTTGTCCCATGATGTGTCTGTGCACAGTACTCCAAATTAGGAGTCTTTTCCATGCCATCTTGGTGAATGGGGACCCTTCTAGACATACTTGTTCCAGAACCATCTTTCTCTTAGTTTCAGGCAGATTCTACCATGTATCCAGGATTCTTTTTCTTTCGTCCTAGTCCTTTGGATCAATATCATTTTAGGTGATCCTCTAAAGAGAGGATAAGAAAATCTATCTGATATTATCAGCCAAAAAGGATGATCCAGGCCGGGCGTGGTGGCTCACGCCTGTAATCCTAGCTCTCTGGGAGGCCGAGGCGGGCGGATTGTTTGAGCTCAGGAGTTCGAAACCAGCCTGAGAAAAACAAAAACCCCGCCCCAACAAAAATTAGAAAGAAATTAATTGGACAACTAAAAATATATAAAAAAAATTAGCCGGGCATGGTGGCGCATGCCTGTAGTCCCAGCTACTTGGGAGGCTGAGGCGGGAGGATCGCTTGAGCCCAGGAGTTTGAAGTTGCTGTGAGCGAGGATGACGCCACGGCACTCTAGCCCGGGCAACATAGTGAGACTCTGTCTCAAAAAAAAAAAAAAAAAAGGATGATCCAATTTACTATCCTCATTACTTAAGAAAGAATGTCTTAATAGTTACCACTTTCCTGTTTTCAAGTAACAGTGCAAGGGGAAATTTAACAGGAATGTATGAACCAGTAAGTTGCTCATTTGAATGATGCATTACTGATTCTAATTACTTTTCCTTTTCAAAGAGGATGAGTTATATAATTTTATTTTCTGTATGTAGTAACTAACTCACAATTTTTTAAAATAGAAAGAATATCGTATCCCTGTATTGAGATACTCCACTAGAGTACACTTTTCCTCATAGTGGAGTTCACATCATTGTATCTCAGTATGCTCCACAATGTTATGTACACAGTAAAAAGTTAATAAGTGTTTATTAAATGAATAAATGAATGAATCACTGTGACAAAAAGTCAGGTTTGAATGAAATAATAAAGAAATGCATTTTTATAGGAAGTTTGCCAAGTGTGAATAAATGGCTAATGGAATAGCATGGTCCCAGAGAAGAAATATCCAAGTTTACATTAAGGTATTAGATGTTTCATATTTAATGTGGTAGTTATGAGTCATATTACTCTGAAAAAATTTATTATAATAATATTTCTACCCATATTTGTTTTATTTCCTTTATGCATTTATTTATTTATTTACCTATACCCTGTCTAGTTCCACAACAAATTTTAATATGGGAAATTATAAATCCAGGGATAAGACTTATGCATAGAAATGCATGCCTTAGGTATGGTGCATGGTTGAATCCTTATGTGGATTCATATTTTAACACATTCCGTGAGCATCACTGCATGAAAGGAGCTATTTTATCACTGAAGTATAGTCCCTTTACACATCATTCCGCACCTCTAGCAGTCACTTTTATAACCAGCTATTCACAAAATGTGCTATTAATTTTACATGACACAGTATGATTGGAAAAGATGAAAAAACAAAAGTATACATTCATGTGTTTATATTATTCATATTCTAGTGTAATTAAGACCTCTGGATGCTACTTTCTCATAAATTAATACTTAGAACTCCCCTAATTAATTCTCCACTATACTGACCAGGCCAGTATTGGAAAGGATATGTGGAAGTGGGCACTCTTATCCACTACTGTTGGTAGTGTGAATTAGTACAAGTACATTGGAGATTGATTCCATGTTATCTGGTAAACTTGAAGATCTTCATACTCCATAAACCAACAATTTCATTTCTAAATATATACCTTCAAAGGACTGCTACACATGTGCATAAGAACCATTGCTTTACATAATGGAAACAATTTAGATGTCCATTCAAAGGGTAATAACCAAAAAAAATGTGTTCGTTATACTCATAAAATGAAAGAACATGCACTGGTTGGAAATGAATGTAATTTTATGCATTATCATGAATTTTTAAAAAACATAGTTTTAAGTGAGTAAAATATGCTTTGGAATTATATGTAAAATAATACTTATATAAATCAAAAAACAAGCAATTCTCTCTCACTTCATATATACTTTCGTATATATGTATGCATATGTTTATATATGTATGTAAATATATAATTTTTAGAGGCACATACTTTTTATAGTAAAACCAGAGGCAATATATCCATAAGCCTACTGGAGTATTCCGAAAGCCACGTCAACCCAGTCCTTGGTTCTGCCCCAGTCCTGTAGGATAACATCTTATTCCATTCCCCATTCTGCAACATATTACGGTTTTTGTTTTGTTTTATAACATGGAGCATTTCTTTTCTGTCACTATATAAATTCAAATAAATTGACAGTCTCTCCCCTTGTACTGATAGAAACTATTTTGAGGAGGCTTTCAGTCATGAAAATGTAAGTCAAATACTAACCACTCAATACTGGGTAAAGTTCTGAAAATTGATGCAATATTGAATGGCCAGTCCTTCAGAAACAGCTGTTCAGAAACAGCTGTGATATGTCCTATAAATAGGCCATGGGCAGAGGGTAATTGCGTAGATTATGTTGCAATGTTTTTTTATTTTATTTTATTTTGGCTGGAACTAAAGAAAAGGGGGTATAAGAGGCTCTTCTTTTAGGAGGGACAGGACTGGCAAGGTGGAACATCCTGAGTAGATGAGCAAGCCCAGGCAACAAAGCAGCAGACCAGAGGCTCGGGAGACAGAGATGTTCCCTTCCCAGGCGTGTTCTGGGAGGAAGCATAAAAGTGGTCCTGGTTCTTCTGAGAAGGCAGCAGGTATTAGGAGACATGCTTTTAGTACAGTGATGGCCAAGTTGAAAGGCAGCAGCATTAGCAGCAGGAGAGAAGATGGGGCTAGCTTGTGGAGAGCATCTCCTGGTTGCATGAACACACAGTATTAGGACACTTGAAATATGAAAGTTCCGTTAAGAAGGGTTTGTGAACCTCTTCTTGAAAAAGACTGAGAAACAGAAATGACAGGAAGGGAGACCTCAGTTGGTAAATGCTGGACCTTTAAAAATAGATACAGCATTGGTGCTGTTTTTGGAAGGACAGAGAGAATGTCCAAGGGAAGAAATAAACAGCGACTACACCCTACCAATATTCTTACCAGGCTGGATGGCCTGGAAAATCTCCTTTGCAGATTAGATATTTAAAGGTCCCATCAGTCACTCGTATATTTGGCCATGTCCAAATACATAGATGGTTGGCCTTGTATAGGTCAACTATGTTTAATTCATTTAGATTTTTATTTTTATACCAAAATTGGTACTGTGTAGAATAGTCATAATTATCAATTATGACAACAATTTAAGGTATCTTGTTTGATGGTGTTAATAATTTATTTGGAGTACAATTTTTTCAAATGCATATGACAAAACATCAAGAAATTTAGAAAACATATAATTTAAGTAAAAAATACTAATCATATTCATACATCTTTTCTGTAAAATGACAACTTAAATAATGGCAAATTTTTTCAACTCCAAACATTAAAAAAAAAACCTTCCTCTTTATCGAATAAGAAAAATGTAATCTTTTGGCAATCTATAGTCTTTGAGGTTGACTTTATAATTTTTCATCACTATCTATACCTTCTGAGGCCACTTTACCATTTTTAGAAATAGACAGTTTTGCTGATAAGGCAATAAATCCTACACGTTCAACCTTTGCAAATCATACCATCTATGCAATTGAGCTATCTAGTCAAGGTTACGGCATTTTTATTTTTCCTTTATATGCAATGTAGTTAAATATCACTTGTAAGTTTTGATTAGCTTTGCAAGGTTCTTGAAGATGTGTATTTTCCAATGCCTCTGATTAATCAAATTCAATTAAAAATGAAAATATTTATTTATATTACAGTAGGGAGTATGTCTTCTTGTTTGTTTGTTTTGGGGTGAGGGAGTGGAGAGAAATCCTGACAGAAAAATAAGAATAATAGTGTTCAAATATTTTTAACAAGTAAAGAATTATATTTAGAATTGTTAAAAACTTACATATGATAAGATGCTTTATCAAAGACTCTGGCAAGTATATTTCTGAAAACTAGAAATTTAGAATATTTCTGATATAAGTGTGAATGCAAAAGTGTACATTCTAAGAGAAAAAAACAACTAAGTGGAAATAAGACTCTTAAAATGAATGTTGTGTGCCTTCCTTTCTGGTGTTCATTATTTTTCAATTGTGCCTTCAGCCAGCAAAGTTATATGATGGTTTCTAAGTAGTGTTTACCTTTGTGATAGTTTCATCTCCCTCTGTTGTCCAAACTGATAAAATCCAGCACTCTAGAAACAGCAAGGAACTCCCTTCCTCTGTTACTTGTAAGCTGACATGAGGTACACAGACACCTTCTGAAGTTTTACCCATACTGTGTTTTCTCTCCTTTCTGCAACAAGAAAAGCCTTTTTGTTTGTTTGTTTTAACCTGGCTGCCTTTGAAGAAGTGACTCAGACATCTTCATGGCCTCTAAAGGTAAGAGTAAATATAAACAGCTAATAAAATTTTCCTTATATTATGACTAAAAATATATAGTTTTAGAGGTGTTGCAATCAAAAAGACTGGTACTTTGAAAGCTTTCATTTCCTACTTTTGAACATGGGGATTTTAAAAATTTAATTCCAAAAAGCATGTTGCATATAACTAAAAGCAAGAAACCACTCTATCTGATGGAATGTAAAAGTTCAGATGTAAACAATGTGTTAGTTATCATGAACATAAACGCAGTGAATTAATGAGAAAAGCTGCATAGCAAAATTTAGAATGGGATTATTTAATGTCAAACACAAGGACAGGTTGATATCCCAGGTTTAAGGAGATTTGAAGAAAACTTTTCATACATAATTTAGAAAGCATTAAAGTACAATTGGGAAGAGGGAGCTGGTAAGTTTTTCCTTAAATTCCTAAAACTGTAGAAATACCATTACTGATGTCTTTTAAAGACATCCTCAAAAGACAAGAGATGTGGTTGCTTTTTAAGGTGATAAGTTACAATCCCACTAAAAACACTTGTGCAACTTGTATAAAAAATAAAATTATAATGTGCTTTCATTTCATTTTCAGAATGAATCATTAAATTCTAGGCTATAATGAAAAGTTTTAGCATGAAGAATTATGATTAGTATAATTGGTGGAAACCTTTTAACTTAATTATAATAGGATAATATAGTCAATCAATTTATAATATTTTAAATTAAATTAACGATCCGTTAAAAGAAATGTGTATGCTTACTTCCTTCATCAAAACACACTTTAGTCACTATTTAATATGAAACAAATGAAGTAATCTTTTCATTTTTCATCAACATTTAATATAGACCCATCCCCTGAGAATCACTGGGAAAGCTCAAATTGTAAAATATGTACATGAACCAGAAAAATCATGAATTTTAATATATGTGCGCTTCATTCTCTATATATAAAGACAAATAAACAAAAAACCTGGACAAGTATTTTCTTTCATTTAAGACTTACGCTAACACTTAGTCCAAAACACTTCATCACTTTATAAAATAAGAGTTAACAGCAACACTGAAGCCTGTAAGGTAAAGAGTTGCAGAGTGTGTAAAATATTTATAAGGTGGTTATACATTTTTAAAAGAGTAGATAGAAATTCAAAGCCAGATAGAAATTCAAAGGAGTTCCTTCTTCATCTGGTGGTCTGAGTCTTTGAAGAAACTGTGACTAGAAAGCAATCTTGTGATCAAAATATGATTAATCTACCAAAAAGTAGTGATGTTCAGTAATGATAAGTACTTAAGACTAAACTTAGAGGCAAAACTTCAGATGGAAAACTGAGACTCCTTCTGCAACCTACTAAAAATATTTAACACATGGAGTGGATAATACATCTATTAGAGACCCTATACTACTTAAGAGAATTTAAATAACAATGAAACTTTTTTTTCTATTAGAAATCTTGTTTGAGAGGGCACGGTCAAGTTATCGTCACTATTTATCTAAAACATTTTTGTGGACAGTTTTCTTCAAATATATGTAAAGACATTATTTATAACATTGTGTTTTCTGGCCCATGAAACTGTGTTGGCAATTAGCATTTTCCCAGGGAATAAAGCTAATCGGCATTTTGCACATTCTTAGGCAAATCAATCAGCACTACTAAACCAAAGGGCAGTCTAAATACTGGATGCCATTAGAACTGAAGAAACATTTGTGTGATCTGGAGCCTCCTGGTTTAGTATAAATAAACACAATTTAAGAACAGATTCGTCTTAGACTTCAAGTTTGAGGAAAAAAGTTTTCAGGATGATCTAAACTGAACAAGAGTTATCTTTAAAAAATACTAAAATCCCAGGAAAGGAAGTAAGTGATCTCCGAATAGTGTTCTCTCTCAAAGGTCTCAGACAGAGACTCACCCATATTCTACTTCTGAATAAAGAGTTTGGACATGATATCCTCTGGGCTTCAAGTGCACTGATGTCTCTGGATCTGCTGCAAGGTCTAAGGACTTAAAGATCTGGGTTAGGAATGTGTAGTTACTTGCTAGACACTCAATAATCCACTGCATTTTGTTACAACAAACACAGTTTATAAGGTAAAATTGTGGTAATTTGCCAATCCACTTAACAATAAAATTGACGATGAGAGAATTTAATAATTTTCTACCAACTATTGTTAGAAATTGATCCCTACATTGTTTTTTATTATTTGAGGGTCAACATATGTAAAGTGCATAAAGAATATGAAACTTAGGCTACGTAATTTTTAAAATAAAGATGCACTAATGTAACCACCACCAAGATCAAGACATAGACATTTCTAGCCTCCATAAAGTTCTCTTTCTGGCCAATAAGCCAAGCATCTTCATTGTTAACATGAACCACTATTCTGAATTTCATCACTGCCTCAATGTTTTTCTGAAAGTTAATGACAAAAGTGCATTTGGCACTAATGCTGAAGAAGGAATGTTTATTACCTTTCAATATTTTCTAGTTCTTACTGCTATATTTGCCATTAGCTCCTCTCCAAAATGTAACGTAGTATTACGTCATCTTCTTCTGGGTTTACTGCTTGGGATTCCATTTGAGGACCCGTCTCAAGAGCAAAAGGAGTTGTTAGTCTATTTCCTTTCTGTCTGCCCCAGATCTAAGAAAACAAGAGTTCAGGTTGGGGTTCTTGTGGAAAGCAAACTGCTATAATATTATCAATATGGCATTCTATTTTAGTGGAGCCATATGACAACTTTTTCCATGTGGTACTAACCAAAAAGCATATCTGAATTCTAAATGTCAAATACCATTACAAACTTCGTGATCCTACACTAAATAATGATAAACATAGTCCATTCCTAGAACCTTAAGATGAAATAAATATATGAATAAATTTATTTCATGAATAAATGTATGAATGGAGTATATACTTGATTTTTCTTAATGACGGGGAATTTACTATCTTAAAAGGAAACCCATTTTATTTTTTTAAATTTAGTTTTTAGAGATTTAAAACATACAGAAAAATACCCCTCACCTGCACATATAAACTCTCATAAATATAGTTGTCATTGTTGAAGTGAAACCATTGTAATCTAGCGTAAATGATGTAGATGCCACTTCAATTTTAGCGTATGTGTAATGAGAGTCCTTATTCAAATCTTTGTACAGATATTATAAATTTCCTCCTTGTATGAATCCAGAGCCACTTTTCTTGTTCTTCTTATTAATACATCTTTAAAATGATCTGACTTACTTGTCTTCATAATGGTCCCTCTCGTATTTGAAAATACCTGTCACAAACCTTGTTCCACATCTACACTCAATCTAAAACAGCTTCACATTGATAAAATAATTAAATGTACTTACGAAAACTTTAATACTTTATTGATTACTAAAGACGAGAAGTGAAAACACTGATATTCTTTGAAAAAAAAAGGATCTCTACTAAGGAAATACCTGTATAGTAGTCATGTGAGAAGAAAAAGAAAAAATAATAGTAGAAAAGCTATCATTTATATTTTTAAACCTAAAAGACTTTTGCATGCACCACTTATTAGGGCTTATGCATAATATTACAAAGAATAATGCAAGGTAAATAGCAAACCTGCAAATTTCAAACTGAAAGATGATCTAAATAATAACACATTGACCTGGGAATAATATAGAAAACACATGATTTCTCTAAAAATATTAAATTCAGCTTTGCGCAGTGGCAGTATCATAGCCAATGAGGTTTATCCGAGGCGCGATTATTGTTAATTGAAAACTTTTCCCAATACTCCGCCATGACCACTTGCAATACAGTCGGCATTGACAATTTTTGGCAGTCCCTACGGGGACTGAATAAAAAAAGAAAGAAAGAAAAGATAAAAAAATTAAATTCAAACTTTTTGAAATTCTTTTATTATTTTATCTTTTATCTTTTGTAATATTGGGTGAGCTACAAAGGGACTCATACCCTCAAGATTATTGGGTGCTTTTATACAAAAAAACTGGAAATCAAAGCTAAGTTTGATATTATACTGCCCTTAAGAAGCTCACAAATTAGTTATGAATATTCTTACAGTATGTGAAATTAAACCATTAGTTGTCAAAGTATATCCTCCGATCATTTTGATTAGCTTCATCTGGGCATCTTATTAGAAACGCAAATTCTCCAGTCCTCTCTCCCTCCTCTACTCCTGAATCAGAAACTCTGGAGTGAGGCCCAGCAATCTGTGTTTTAATAAATCCTCTAGGTGATTCTGTTAAAGCTAAAATGTAAAAAACACTGAGTTAAACAGAGCCATAACAGTATGATTGATAAAATGAGACAAAATATCCTCAGAAATCACAAGGCACCCCCATTATATTTGGGAAGGGGAGAATATGCCTTGAAAGATGGTCATAACTATGATTAAAACGCAAGTCTAAGGTTAGCCTTTTATGAATACAGAGCATCTAGTGCCTTTTACCATTTTTTTTTTCTTTTGTGTTTATGATTCTTCATATCTCTCAACAGATGTTACTTGCCTAAATATATTTATATATATTTAGTTATTTATTTTGGTCAAATTATTCAACTCTTTCTCACAGCTACTACCAGCAGTCTTTCACATTTCTTGTTTTCTGACTCAGGGGTCCGGCGGTGGTGGCAGTGAGTAGAGAAAAGGAAGGAAAGGCACAAAATGAGAGGCAACCGGAGAGAATCTACCCCCTGAATTGAGAAGTAACAAATATTTTAAGAAGAACTAAACGAAATGACCTAAATTTGAATATAGATTGGGATTTTCATTCTCTTGCAGATGCCCAAAACCAAAGAAGTAGAGGCCTGCTTGGTTTTCTCCCTGGAACTCCGGACCCAGACCAGAGGCTCGGTGTCGCATCTTCCAATCCAGAAAACCAGGCCTGGCAGCCGCGTCTCCCTCCGCCAAGTTTCCTTCCGACAGTCAGTCTCCCCCCTGGTCTAGAATATTTAAGCCAGGTGTTTTTATCTTTATATTCCTACAGATATTTTCTCCTTAAAGTTAATGCAAATTTGGTTTATTGCTTTTCAACCAAAATTGTAAGTCTTCAACCAATCATTTACTGAAGTGACAAAGGCATTATAAATCATAAAATAATGATCTTATTTATTTCTATTATTTAGGAAAAATTTGTTTTCTTTCATTGCTACTTTTATTTTCCTATGTATTTAATAGAGTGACAAGACTAAATATTTTTGATAGAGCTGTTTAGCACATTTATCCACCTTCTGTTCGTTGCTCAAGGTGTCAGTAAATCTATCCCTGAGGAATTGTCTAATATATCTAGTTACCTACAGCGATTTATTTAAAGAATATTTATTGAGTACTTGCTATACTCAAGGCTATAAAAAGCATAAAACCTATCCCCTCTCACCCAAACATTTTGCAATCTAATTGGGAGGACAAAAAAATGTTAAAAAAAAGTGCAAGGATGTGTACAAATGCCAGGTAAACACACAATTGTAATTTGTGCAAGTGTATAGAGGAGAGAAAGGTTGTTAAGGCTCAAAGCACTTCAGAGAGATTTCTGCAATGAGCTGAGAGTCCACCATCTTCAACTGAATCTTAAAAGGAGGATGGAAACCCAAGAGAAAGCAAGTTATCAAGTGAACAGTACTGTCTTCTGATCCTACTGCATCTCCAGGCCAATGTGCTTGAAAGATCATATTATGATTAGGTATAGTCGCTGTTTTAGTCATTGTAGGGTAGGTAGGGATTCCAGCCTCACAACAAATCAATCAAAAATATCAACATCTGAACTATATGGCACGTAAACAGCTATTGCTACTCATATACGAATATTATTGTTGCTTTTGTATTTTATCCTACAAATGATTAGAAATACACTTACACTAATATTGAAATGTCAGCACATCTGCTGCAATTTTCAGTTTGTTTGGCATCCTTTCAATCTATAAAGTCTATCTCCTTTATCAAAATCAAATCTCTGTGTTAATTCCCTTAAGGTACAAGAGATTTCTTTTATGCCTGGTAGGGTTTAAGCTGCATGCAGCATATGTTCCTGGAAAAATGTTTATAATTGCAGATGCCTTCTCCAGAAACCCACCGGCAGACAAATGTACTTTAGAGACTGGAGAGCTCAGGGAGATATGTAAAAGAGCTGGAAAAGCGAACCTACCATCTTCCATCTGCAGAGAGGATCAGCTGTAATAGCTGACTAGAGTTGATTAACTGCTGCAAGCTGTTTGGGAATGTTGTCAGACAAGGTTTTGCCCAGTATAAAAGTGATATACCAGTGCCAGAGGGCTGAGGTTTGATGATCACATATGGTCATCACATATTCTTCTTCCATCCATGAATGATGACACACCCGGAGCCAGATGCTTGACACGAACACATTTTTTTTAACATTCAATAAATAGAGATATGAACACCTTGGCTTAAATTCTAAAAGGGAGAAAAATTTCAAAATTACACCTTCGTTAATCTTTCTCACAAAACAAAAATATGCCACCAGTTGTTGAATATTTTACTGCTAAAAGGAAAGATACTCACTTTATACTAAAAGAACACATTTACTTTAAAACAATGAATGCATAAAAAGATGAGCGAACATTTCAAAAGTGTTATACAATAAGTCTATAAGAGACAATATAAAGTGAATTTTCAGGTGTTAACTTTTATCTAAAAGCCATAAAATTAAATAAAATCATGAACATTGGATTCATCAATAAACAGAAAAATATACAATAAAAATCCTTCTAAATTATTAATAAAAAATTAAGTAAAATTTTTAAAAACCATCTATTCTCTTTTAATTAAGTCCATCCAATGACTACTGATAATCTTGCTTCCATAAAGAATTTGAAAATAAATACATGTATATATGCTTAGGTGTATATATGCATATATATATCATGTAGATTAAATATAAGAATAAAATCAATACATACTTGCCATAGGGATTTACATGTTCATAACAGTCAATGACGTTTTACCCTATAATGTCCAAGGATAATTAATTATTATAATTTAGTCACTTATGGGTAACAGTAGTAAAAGTCTACAAAAACATGTAAATATTCAACTTATTTTGAAATACATATATTAAATGGAATCACTGACACCTATAAATCTGATTTTAAAAAAGCATTAATTCCTAAGCTGCATCCAAGTTTGCCATTGTATTTTCATTTCTACTACTTTCATACATTAAGAGCACTTTACTTGCTCTGACACAGGAATATATAATTCAATCTGTTTAAAGTTTCCAACAGTTCCTAGTCCATCAATCAACAGAAAAGGATGGAAAAAGCACATCTGGACCATAGTTCATAAGTAGCCTGGGATTACTTCAAGGAAACTACAAGAACAACCAAACACAAGACCCTCAAGTCCAGGAGGTTTGGCCTAGAGATCAAATCAAATGTTATTACAGACTATGGAGGGAGTAGAAGAGTGCAGAAAACAGGGAAGAAAGGCGCTCAAGTTCCACACTGTCACAAGATTGATTTCCTCGAGTTCCGAAGTTTATTTAAGTGATGTCAGTAAAGTACCAGAATAGAAAGCTTGTCAGAATCGGTGGCCTATTACAAACTCTGTGATTTTAGGTAAATTACTTAACCTGGGATTGTTTGCTCACATTTAAAATTAATGACATTTATCTGTCTGAGTTTTGGTGAGGATTAAATACTATACTATGTCAAAATGTCTAGCCCAGTGACTACCTCATGATAGTTATTCAATAAACAACTGCTATTACTGAGTATTGGAGAGGTACCACTTCCCTTTTCTGAGTAGGTCTCAATTGATAGTTTCTAAAATTCAGGACTAAAGCTTGATCCATGACACCGATACTCAAAAGTTCCTAAACTCAGACTTCGTCTTGGCCCCACAGAGCTCCCTCTCTAAGTTAATTCTATGTAGATCCACTGCTAAATAATCAAGTATATGCTTCTTAAGGATATATCCTTCTATTCCCACAACCTTCCATTTTCCTGAAAATAGAACAGAACTAATGAAATACACTGTAAAAGATTCATCCTCATTTGAAAAAAATCTTTTGTTATAATTGCTAAAATAGCTTTTAGAATGTCTGAGACCATAAAATATTTTTGGAAAAATATTTTTGTGAGTCTTTAAAAAAAGAGGCCACATGTACATTTTTTTTATCAATAATAAGATTTAAATAGATAAAATAGTATTAGTTTTATCTCTACCTCAGGATTATACAAGGAGAATGAAGGAAATAATGTAGCTTCAAATTTTCTGAGATTGTGGTGTCCAGTCAATACCAAATTTTAGTAATGACTGGCTCCGTTTAATAGTTATTGGCAAGTTTAGTAATATGAAGGGAGCATAAAGTGAAGAAAAGTTTAAGGTGCAATTTAAAATGAAGTATTAGAGAATACAATGATCAGCAGTATATTCAGTGTTCATGATTTTGCCTTAGTGGATCTCCAAGTACTGAATATCAAATTTAACATACACACAAATAAATTTTAATCTAAGAACACATCCTTCCTATTTCCTTTAAAATGGCAATTTGAATTGTATACTTTTTAATATAGTCATTTCTCAATGTCTGTGGATACTTTATCTGTGTAAATTAACTTTAATTTTAATTACATAAGGCAAATTTTATATCACATATTTAGTGCCATAACTGTCATTCTGCTTAAATTTGTATTTTGTTTACACGAAGAGGGTTTCTGTTTTTTTCTAGTCCAAAGGAAAATGTGAATGAGAAAAATTTACAGAATAATCTTTCAGCCTTAACAAAGACATTGCATTACTGAAAGGAATGATTTGCAGCCTTTCAGAGTGACAATAGAATTTGGCAGGGGTGAAGAGGAGAGGCCAGGAATTAAAATCATTACTGTGTTGTTTCATTTCTTTAAAAATAAAATATTGGGAGTTTTAAAACATCTTGGGCGTTATTATTCAAAGATTGTTTAAAACTCTTCTCGAACTCTTGTTTCCAAGACTACTTATTTTCCACTATCACAGAAAGAGTTAGCACAGAATTAAACACTGTTCCTATTCTTATTTTGGGCAATTCTGCCTTGGAATTTTCAGAGGTCTTGTAAATTTTTACTTGAATAAAAGTCATTTTTGTTGCATTATAAAATGTGAGCTGTTTTCAACCTTTTTCCTAATAAAGAACATGAAAATCACCTAATTTTATGCAGTATAGTAAATATGTTAATAGTAATATCTCCAAAGGTTTTTGAAGTTTGTGATGTAATACTTTGTATTTCCTTTATGTCACCCTTTAACAGTTAGACCTGATAATTATACACCAGCAGGTGGAGCTTCTTGGAAGTGAGTACATTATATTCTGCATTTATTAAAACTGTTGAAAATATTTTCCTTTTCAGAAGTTTCTTTACATAAAAATATGTTAAAAGCAATAAAGCTAAATGTATAGAATAGAATTAGATCAAAAAGAACACTATTCTTAAAATAAAAGCTAAAAGTAAAATTATTAATTTGATTTAGATAAAACTCCGAGTTGATATTGCCATTAAAATTCTAACATTATATTTAATCTTAAAACAATAAAATCTATTTGATCATTTCCATGAATGTTAATCATTTAAATTTCTTAATACTTTCAAAAATGGAAGTCAGGGTTGAGACATAAAAAATGTCAAAACAAAATGTCACTGCTTTATCATTTTATCAGTGATTCACCAAATAGGCAAATTATTTAACAATACACAAATTTACAAGAATGACTAACTGAATTCAAATTATTTAAGTACTTTATGTTTGTAATTGTTCTACATTATTCCTAAAATAAGTCAAAATTAAATAGCAGAATAGCATGAAGCTGTAGATGTAATACCAGATAGAGATTTTAGACAAGATCATTACTGTCACTGTAAGTTGTCCCAATAATTTCCACAGCAATGATAGATTTATTATTTGAGTAATAGATCCTTCTTCTCAGCATTGGAACTTTAGTTGAAAAGTGATACTACATGTTTTCAAGTAGGTCATATATCTGGAATCAAAATTAATTAATTACATAGCTTTGTTCTCAGCGTTTACTTTGATTTCCATGGCTAAGTTCTCAAAATTTAAAGCATGGAAATAGATTTGTGTAAAGAAGACACCGTATAATTAATAATTAATCAACTGCTCAGTTTTAATTAACACTCCTCCTTCATTTATTTAAAGATTTTGATACTAAGCAAAACATTATTTTATGGTATTTTTTTTTTGCTCCATTAGTGATACTTGGTACTGAGATCTCCAACAAATATGAGATTAAAAACAGCTTGGGACAAAGAATTTACTTTGCAGTGGAGGAAAGCATCTGTTTCAATCGTACTTTCTGTTCCACGCTGCGATCTTGCACCCTGAGGATCACAGATAACTCAGGTCGAGAGGTGATTACCGTAAACAGGCCTTTGAGGTGTAATAGCTGCTGGTGCCCTTGCTACCTACAAGAGGTTAGTCACTGGCTTTGAATGTCTTATTTTTTTTAATTAGCAATTATTTCTTTAAATGGAATTCATCTGGAGCTATGGGCCTATTAACCTTTCAATTGTTTGAATTAGTACGATGCTTCTTTTGAATCAGAATAGTTTGAGGATTTGGTGATTCACTAAACTTTTTACCTTTCCAACCAAAGACTATGGTGGATTCCGTGATGTTAATTGGTGGAGACAGCTCATGTATCATGAAAATGAGTCACGTGCTTCTCAATCTCTATATTAGCCACATAATTGTAATGTCTACAAGTTCCACCGTTGGGCAAATAGACCCCTTGTCTTCTCTAACTGTTGCAAAGTCCAGGAAGTGTTAAGTGATATTAAACCCCTCTAAAGTGTTCTCTTGTTTAGATATTATTATTTAGTACAGAATCTCACATTATATTTACCCATTTATGACAAACTCCAAGGTTTGGTGAAGATAGTATTACTGTTTTAAAGGGAATAATTCAATTATTTTATTTTAATATACAATAGATTATTTAATAGACTTGTAATCATAACTTTCATTGACATGATGCAATTAAATTGACAGAACTTTTATTTCCTTTACTGACTTTCATATTATGACATCTGTATGAGCTAGAAAGAGTAGGTTTTACTCCCCACGTTTTGTAGTCAAGGAAACAGAGTGGAGGTGAGTTTCCCAGGATCACGCATTCAGGAAATATCATAAACGGGATTTGATCTGGGTATCCTAATTCAAGCCCAAACTTCTCTATTGAGTACTCGTATATAAGCACTGTCCTTAGAACAATGGAAAATAAGTATTAATATAGAAGGGACTTTTCTAACAATATATATTGAAGCTAATTCTCCAAGTATTAATATTTATGGGCAAGCACTTGGCTAAGTGATAAGATGACTCAAGTACTCATACACGGAGCCCAAGAATTTCCATCCACCTACTGAAGATGTAATATTAGTGTGCCCCAAGTTGGTATAGTCAGTATTGTTATAGAATATATGCCCATTTGAAAACTTCTGATAATAAACATAAGATATATCATGATACCCATTAGTAATTGTTTAAAGTTTGGTCAAAATCAAATCACATACTTTTAAAATGATCCCAGAACAAGTCTATATAATTCTAAGCAGTCTAGTTAAAATGACCTTTGTCTCCGTAAGAACGCTACAGACCCACACAGAAGACCATGAACTTAATAAGAAAAGTCAAAATCAGATAGAGAGATGGCTTGGTTTAAAAGCAAACATTTTATTTTTATTTGCACCTGCTCCCAACTTATCTAAGAAAAGTAATTGGTTTGGCTTACATAAATATGTCAGGGTAATGGGGTCAAATACTAACATTATGCCTGAAAATGCAAAATGCAACTGCTGGTCTCTAATACTTTGGAAAACATGAAACAGCAATCAAACTGGTGTTTAATAACTGTAACTGCAAAAAGAATTTGTTTTTAATTAACACAGAGAAACAGGAATTTGACAATATGCAGAGAAACAAACTCATGAACACTCAATAATTGGTAAAGAAGACTTAGATATATGTTGTGGCTACAACTGAGAGTACGTAGATATGAGTTAGCACATGGGGAACAGCTTCAATGGTTGACCAGCTGTTGTACTGGGAATAAAATAGCAAAGAAGCCAATGTCCCAGAGTCAGAAGATAGTCCTGGGGCAGATTCTCCTTAGGGACAATAAGACATGGACTTTCAGTGCACAGTGCCAAACATTTATCTATACAGTGAATTTCTTTGTTTCTATAAAATAGAAAAAAAAAAAACCCACTACTTTGTATTCTTAGAAGCAGATATTTAGGTTGATTTATAGAATATTAAAGTAATTTCATAACTAAACTGTTTAGAGGTAAATTGATATTATAGTAACATTAAAATATAGTAACAAGAAAATCTTATTTTATTATTATCTCTTCTTACAGTTAGAAATTCAAGCCCCTCCTGGTACTATAGTTGGCTACGTTGCACAGAAATGGGACCCCTTTCTGCCTAAATTCACAATTCAAAATGCAAACAAAGAAGATATTTTGAAAATTATTGGTCCTTGTGCAACATGCGGCTGTTTTGGTGATGTGGATTTTGAGGTATGATTGAAAAATGAAGGAAATTTTCACTTAGGTCCTGATATTTTGCAACGTAATTCAAATCTTAAAATGTTCAAATCAATTTAATTTCAAATAAATTTAGAAAATAACATATTTGTGAAGTAATTTAATAAGCTTATTTTGTATATGCAATAAGAATTTATAATTCCAGAGATACTAAGTCCAAGAATTTTTTAAAAATAATATTATAAAATGTACCACCTTGGTCATGATATTTGTCATAGGCCAGTGTAAGTATTATTCAAAGTAATTTTAAAAAATAGAATATAATGATGGCTATCAAATAAAACTTTTCCTGAAAGTATATTTAGCTAGATACAATTTTGTGTGTTTTATGGACAAAACAGTAAACCTCTTATTATTTTAAATGTATCCAAGTATTTGAACATCAAGCTTTTTATGTATATATAGTTTTGTCTTTTTTCGATAATCAGTATTTTCTGATTTTGAAAAATAGCAGTACATTCAATTTTAGTTGTGTCTTATTTATGTGGAATTATAGAATACATGGTATTTAGTTTAGAATCACCTAAATTATATAACTTCTTTTCTATAGCCCCAGTGGTCACATTTCCCAGTTCAGATCTCATTTCAGAAACACACTCCATTAAAATATCACTAATTTAGAAAGCTATGTTCATATGACTTTTAAAATTTGTTTTATAAAACAATATACTCTCATATTTATGTAAACTGAATGCTAAAAGCAATAGGTCGTTGCAAATCTAATCTGTAGCAATATAAACTATCTTAACAGATTCTCCTAGATAACATCTTAGGCAGAGAAGATGACCTAAATTAAAGTGTATATTTATTTTCCATTCATTCATTCATTCATGTATATCTTACCTAGGACATCAGTTTTCAGGACTTAAAGGAACATTAATCTTATAGAATACAATGTAAATTTTACAAAGTGAGCTATTCTAACTTCGTCCCATTCCATAAGAATTTGTCATGGCTTTCCTAAAAGTAATATGATTGAGAACTTAAAACATAAGAGTGTTAGTATTCAGAGTATAGAGATGTCCTAAGTAACTTTCTCTATTTTCTATCTTTTTGCACCATATGGAAAGCGAAAGTTTATATTGAATCACTTTCAGCATCAGAAGGGGAAACAGGGTATGCAAATGAATGGTTTATAAAGTTGAACTGTAGACTCCTAGCTGAGAAGGACTGATAGACTTTTATGTCAAATTGGTCTAAACTTCTTGTGTGGTACATTAGCCCAGAGGGTTTTTTGATGTAAAAATAGGACTTAGGATTAGTTAGAAAGGAATGACCTAACAAATAAGTATAATATTAAAATGTGATTTAATAATTACTGGTAATATTTAAATGTTTAATAATTATAAAATCTTAGCAATAAAAGTTTGGAAGTTTACAAATTGTACCTAGAAATTAATTTAATTCCTAATATCTTCTTTCATATTTTTTTAAATGGAGAATTTAGTTTTAAAATCTAGACCCCAGGTAAAGGAATTGCCTTCATGGTTAAAGCATGTAATTGAACTATGTACCTGCTGCCATCTTGTGGTAGCCTCACCTTAATAATTTATTGCTATTATATTCTCCATCTGCATACAAAAAGGAAAAAAAGAATTATAATGAATTAGAAAACTGTCAGAAAAGCAAAATGTCTGAAGAGTGAACTGGAAAGTTAAACCTATAAACCCACTCTTATATAAAGGAATAAATAACATAAAATTGTCATTTGGAAATGATGAATAAAATAATTGAAAGCTCTCATGAAGTAATACCCTCAGAAATGTAAAACCATCTTTTTTCACGTTCAAATTTAATACTTCTTATTTTCTTTTTGAAGGTGAAAACCATTAATGAAAAACTTACAATTGGGAAGATTTCGAAGTACTGGTCAGGATTTGTAAATGATGTCTTCACAAATGCTGACAACTTTGGAATTCACGTGCCAGCAGATCTGGATGTGACGGTCAAAGCAGCAATGATCGGTGCTTGTTTTCTCTTTGTAAGTGTAGATAAGGGTGACTTATTTTTCTCTTTCTTACTTGTTAATTACTATAGAGCCAATCCCAGTTTACACAGTTTTTACTCCCAAAGAGTAACTTTTATTCATAGAAGGCTAGTTTGGGATGAACTTTCTTCAAAAATCAGAATTTAGAAGGCTGCATTTCTGTTAGGCAGCCACTCTCCTGTGATCTCATACCCTCTCTTCCTTAAAGATTGATGCCCCATAACATCCTACTCATCATTTCCTCAAAAACCGAGTTTTCCTTCACTTTCAACTTCAATTTAGATTTTTGGCTTATTTTCACTTTAACTTAAAAATATGCAACCATAAATACCACAAGATTTATCCTGGGTAAAGTTCAGGACTCTGCGTAACAACAAACTAGGTGATATTCAGAATGTGGAAAGAGCAGCTTTCTTGCCTTTTCAATATGAACATAGATTCATGAGATGACACCAATGAATTAATAGGTAGCAGTTTCCATTGTTACAAAGGTATTATGTCCTTGTCCTTGCTTTCAACTTACCATTTTATTGAAATGTTTTCTTATTTGGTATATGCAGATTGGTGATCGAAGAACAGAAGTCAAGTAATACCTGTGCCAAAATGTCTGGCTAGCCCTGTTCCTAATTTCCCCTCTAATACCTACTTCATTTCCTACCATTTTCAATGCACCCACAAAAACTCAAGGGATTTTTAAATAAATTTAAATTCTTCCTCATATTTTATTGTTCTCTGGAGTTTTTAGGATCCTAAATTTTATGGTTATATTAATGTGTGTGCTTCTGAGAATAAAATCAGCCCTATCTACTGAGTTTTTCCTAAAGACAATTGGGAAATAAATGTACCAACTAAAAATTATTCCTTGGTGACTTTGCTGAAGGAAACTTAGAGTTTAGTGTAGAAATGTTTGTGTATATGTATTAGAGTTGTTCCTCTAGTACTTTAGAGGAATTATTTTAACTTACTGGTCCTCTATCATTGATAGAAAGTAGAATTAATACTTGCAGAGAGCTGGGTTTTTATACTTACTAAGTCATCATTTACTCCCAATTCCCACTTCCATGTACAAATCTAACCAATTCAGTCAACCTTGCTTGTCTAATATTTCTTTCACCTAATATTCTTCTATTCCCTTTTCTCCTCCATCCACTTGACAGTGATTTTGACTTGTCACCTTTCCTTTCTCACCCTTCCCATTTTTGATCATTCTCCACTTCAACACCAACCCCTCCAAACACACATACCTCTTTCCCAAGACCTTATTTAGGCCTTTCTGTTTAAGCCCTGCACTTACTGTTTATATTACAAATCAGATCATCTTTAATCTGCCCTACTTATTTTATGTAACAGGTCGATGGCAAAAAAAAAAAGTACTGTCAAAAATAGAACTATAATTTATGTATCTTAACCCTTACTTGTTTTTCTTACTAATTGTTTTCAGAAACCCTCTAAATATGTTCTTATGGAAAAGAAAGAGCCCTATTCTTAGCCCATATTCTTTGAGGGATTGAGAGGATGTTGCTTTAATAACAGTTTATCTAGGACCTAGTCAAAGTGTGGTGCAAAGTGCAGCATCAGCACCACCTGGAAGCTTGTTCAAAGTGCAGAATCTCAGATCCTATCCCAGACGAACTATATCCCCGGTTGATTTCTCTATGCCCTATAAATTTAAGAAGCACTACTATAGATAACACATCAATCATCTGGAAGGATAACTTTTAAACTTCAACGTCTAAGGGAGATATATATTCAATGAGAATAGTTAATGGTTCCCATTCATTTCTTCTTTTTTTTTTCTTTTTACCATCATATTATAAAACACTTGTGGTTTTTTGCCAATATAGCTTTTAAACAATTTCTCATGTGTATTACCAAGATAAATTATTTTTTTCTATGTGTAATTTGATAGGAAGAATCATGTTTTTAATTTTTAAATGCTGTCTCCATTTTATTACCTTACGGTGAGATAGCTTTAGAAAGCTGCTGGTGTGAGGACACTCCCTGATCTAAAGGAAAAAATTCACAAATGCAAACTAATTTTTGGTCTCTTTTGGTTCTAGGTGACCATTCACAACCCACAACTCTCCCTACTCACACTCCACTCTCCAAGTTCCCTCTGGTATAGTTTTCAGTACTTCCTCGGATGACTACCTAATTGCTGAGCACATTGTCTGTGATCATATATCTAATTTTTATTCAAAGGTCAACATCTATCACAACTTCCTGCACTGACCCAGACTGCCCCACAATCTAATTCTGTAAGGTGTTGATCACCCAAAATTTTGACTGATAATACCACGCTGATTCAGATAAGGTTATTCATGCTCTGAAAGTTATTGATGCTCTGAAAATTCAACATGTAAATGGCATGAAGCTTAAAACTTTTCCATTTTTCTCCTACTGATAAATCATATGATGCTGGAACACCACAGGAAATATAATTGCTTTTCATAATCAAAGTTTCCATGTCAGGCTCTTGATCTTAATTGTTGCCTTTTTGTAAATTCACTCATATTCAGTTTATTTATTTGTAGGATTTTATGTTCTTTGAGCATTCACTGGCTGGATTATAAGAAGCACGATAATGAAAACAATAAAATATGCAGAACATATTTCAGTAAGTAAAAAGCAAGTTTAAATGATCTCTTTCCCTTTGAAGATGTCTATATTTGACGCTATCTAATTCTTTTTCATTTTCTTCTAGAAATCCCTTGGGCTCTGGATTTCATTTCTGAATGGTTTGAGTATTTGCTTTTTTGTAACAAAATGTTAATTATTATATTTATTAAAACATAATTTAATGAGGCAATTATCTAGTTCTGAATGCATGATAGCTAAATACACGATTACTGGCCTGAGCACAAGGTTGTTTTGAGAGATTACGATTCTTTCTTTTTATCCTTTTGAAGTTATTGCAATGGTAAGCATGAAAGATGAGAACTAAGGCTTGCAGCATCACTGATGAAAATTCAATGTTTAGAGAACACTTTGAAGTTTTTCTGGTACTGAGGCTGGTTACTAATCAAAAGGACTGAATTTCTGAAATATTTTTTCAAAAGTAGTCCCTTTTTACTTTGTTTATTAATTTTCTTATTGTAGTGAGATGTTTTTATATTGGAAAAGTTAAAAGTTGGGCAAGTAATATGTGTAAAGAGGGGAAAGTTAGATAGTGTCAATTCATTTCAATGGCAAGAGGCACAGTTACATTTCATAAGGAAACTAATATTTACAAACCAAAGCATGCTTTAAATACCTACCTATGCCAGATAATTAAATAAACACATAAATAAACATCTAAGTTAGTAGATGCCAGTGTTATCTGGCAGGAATTTTATCTATTTGCACTGAAGTTTCAATTAATAAGGGATCCGAGTCTCTAAAAAACGGACAACTCCAGGACTTAAATACAAGCAAACAAAATCAAACAAATGAAACTTTAATCCATGAGGTAAATGCAGAAGTAAGGGAGCACAGTAAATTCAATTAACTAATACCTCCCACTTTAACTGTTTTGAAGTCCTCTCCATTACTGTACCCTAGTTATCAACATATTTTCAAAGCCCACGTGAGAGGAAAATTTGTTGTGAATGGCAATAGTCCTTCTCCCCTATTCCAAATAGAACAAATTTCTTTTAAGCAAAGTATCATGCAGCCATTTGGGCCCTACTTTAGAATTGCACATATACTACCCAAATTATCATGTACATGTAATGGTGTTTGCAGAAAGTCCAGGCAATCTCCCGCTTAGAAAAAGAAATGTAGGCCGGGCGCGGTGGCTCACGCCTGTAATCCTAGCATTCTGGGAGGCCGAGGCGGGTGGATCGCTCAAGGTCAGGAGTTCTAGACCAGCCTGAGCAAGAGTGAGACCCCGTCTCTACCAAAAAATAGAAAGA